ACTGAGCCATCTCCCCGGCCCCTTGCCCTGCTTATCTTATGGAGTCTTGTGAGGGTCAGTGGGGAATGACATGGAAATACTTCGGGCTGGGGGCAGAGACCTTCCTTTGCCTTTGTTGTCACCCACCATGGGCCATGGGGGCCTTGACTTCCCACATTGCCCCTCACCTCACTGAGTGTGTTCTCCTCAGCCTCTGATTTCTCCTCCTCTTCCTCTTCCTCCTCTGACTCCTCACCCTCTGTGTCCGTCTGGTCATCATGGTCTTCACCCTGGGCAGCAGCAAGGTTGTGCAGCCAGGGCACCCGCACCTCACTCTGTCGCCGGGACACTACCTGCATGGCAGCTGTAGCACCCCACTGGGCCAGGCTGTTCTGAGGGAGGGACAGAGCAGCCACCACTGAGCAGCCCTGTTGAAGGTGGGGGCCCGAGCAGCTGGAGCCCCTCGTCCCCAGAGATGGGGCAGAGCTGGCCCCAGCATAATTTTCCTGAAACTCTGTATGACAGCTAAAACTCTTGAGTGACAGCTTAGGATGTGAGAGGGTGAACAGGGGCTGTGAATTTGCACAAGCATACCACTGTAACAAATCAAGCACACACCAGAGGAGCCCTGGGCCCCACTCAGTCCCGGCTCCCCCAGCCAAGAGTGACTATGAGTCAGACCTCTATGACTGTGCATTCATTGGTGTTTTCTTTGAGAAGCTTTGTTTGTTTTTGGTGCTGGGAAGGAACCCTCAGTTTCATCTTGACCAAGCTGAGCACTCTGTCCCCCAGCTCACCCCAGTGCTGGGCTATTTTGGAGCTTCCTATAAATGGGTCACCCATGTATTTGCTCATGAATGGCTCCTTTCATTCAGTAGTACATGTGACAGGGTCTGTTGCGGTTGCACATGGAAATTCTGCTTTTCACCCATGTGACACTTTTGTGTGCATCCACCCCCCACTACCCCTTCTACACAGAATGCTGTCCCCTGTGCTGTCCCCAGTTTTTTACTAAGAATAAAGTGGGCATGAACATTTTTCACATGTCTTTTGAGAGACACAAGGGTCACAGGGAGGCAGGGAAGAAAGGAAGGGAAGAAGGGAGGGAGGGAATGACAGAGGGAGAGAGGAAAGAATGGAGGGAGGGAGGAAAGAAAGAAAAAGAAAAAAGGAAAACCTGGAGTTAGCCAGGTTTAGGGGTTTATGCCTGTAGTCCCGATCCCGGAGACTGAGGCACAAGGTGCTGGGAAGGAACCCTCAGCTTCATGATGATCAAGCTGAACACTGTCCCCCACCTTACCCCAGGCCTGGGCTATTTTGGTGCTTCCTATACATGGGTCACCCATGTTTTTGCTCATGAATGGCTCCTTTCATTCAGTAGTACATGTGACAGGGTCTGTTGTGGCTGCACATGGGTGAAAATCTAAGGCCAACCTGGGCTACACAGACCCTAATTTTAAACAACAATATCCTATAAAACAAAACCCAGGGGCAGTGAGGGACAGGGCTGCCTGGAGTTTCTCCCAGCGGAGGGCCTTGTGCTTTGTTTAAGGATGACACTTCCTGGGGCCTGGATAGCAGGCATCATCCCTTCTACAGAACAGCCCAGGGCCAGAGGCCTAATTGGGGGGATGAGTGTGAGGGAGTGAGCAGTGGGGCAGGACCACCCAGCATACCAGAGGACTAGCCCACCACTCTTCTTAAGGCTCTGTCCTCAGAGCTGAAGTCCCAGCCCAGGTTACAATGCTCCAGGGTGGGAGGGGCCAGTGCATAGGTGGGCTCAGGCAGAGCCCAGGCTCTCACCAGGGGTGCCACGCCCGGAATCCACATGGCCAGGGAGTGGCCCTGCTTCAGCGCCCAGGCAGTGGTCTGCATGGCGTGTCGGGAAAGGGTGTTGGCCAGGATCCCCACCCTGCGTGGGAGGCTTGGCTTGGCCTTGGGAGGCTTCTGAATCTGCTGGCGTCCAGGAGCAGTGGCTGGATGGGGGTTTGGGGAAAAGCAGATCAGAGTGGGTAAGCCACAAGGCATGGTGACAGGTGCCACATACTTTCCCTCTTCTGAAACAGAGAAGGGTCTCAGTGATGATGGGTCCCTTTGCAAATCCCACTAAGCTGTCCCTACACTGGAGGCTGGGGGAGACCTTGCCCAGCGTGGGGCAGGGATGCTGGCGTTGGTGCACATACCCAGTTCCTCCTTGGCTGGAGGGAGGAGGAACTCCACCACCTTCTCAATGCCGCTCAGGGCCAGGTCAGCCCCTCCAGAGGCCAGCCGGCCTGCTCGGGTGTTGGTGGCATACTCTGCAGTCTCCCTGGCCACTCCCCAGGCCAGCTCACAGCCAGCCAGGGTGGCTCCCAGGACCTTGTCCGAAGTGCTTGCAATAGGCACGCTGATACTATTGCGGGCACTGCGAAGGCGGTTGGAGATGGTGCCCTTCAGCTCTGAGGCAATCTGGGGATGGTGGGGGTTAGGAGTCAGCTGCAGGGGTCTCCTTGCAGGCAGCTCTGCGAGGCCCAAGGCCTCACTGGAAAGGTCCAAGGGAGGGCTTTAGTGTGTGGACACCTGAATTAATCCAGGCTTTGGAGGGAAAGGACTTTGCCAATGCCCATGCCAACCACCTGGGTCTCCTGGATTCTTCATACCACACTGCCTATCAAGATGCTGTCTCGTAGTGAGGACAGCCCCAAAGTTGTCCTGGGGCACACTGGTCCTGCTCCTCTGGTGCCACCTCCCCAGAGTCCTGTCGTGTGTCCTGTATCCTCTCAGAACAAGAGGTGGGCTCCACCCGCTCTTATACCGATGTACAGGTGTCCTTCTGCTTCCTACCAGGTCTACTTCAAAATAATCAGCTTTCCACCTGGATAGCTGGGAGCTCCTCTGTGACAAAGACATTCTTGCCTTTATTCCAGAAAACCAGGCATCTTTTGGCTTTGAGGCCAAAACACTCATTTGAGCCCACACTGACCTGGAGCCCCCAGATCTACTTGAGGCTGTGTGGCTGATGGGAATCACCAGGTTTTTCTTCTGTAAAATAGGGCAAGGTGTCCTCTTGAAGGGAGGTTAAAGGATTAAGTGAGCAGGCTATAGGGAGCATGCATCATGGTCCCTAGCAAGTGTGGGGCTCAGGGAAGACTTCTAGGATGGGCAGGGAGGCAGTCAATGAAATGGATAATGCCAGAGACTCAAAGTGCCTAACTTGGGCTTATACCTTAGTCAAAACCCAATAAAGATGTAGCCAGCGGAAGTGACCTATTTGATGTCCTTGCCTATAAGCATTGGATCTTGAGGACACAGGATATAATCCTGGGACCCCAGTGAATGCACCCTATGATCTTAGGTGCCTTAGATCTAGTGCAGACCCACAGAGTCCCAGGGACTGGTGTCAGGTGGCTGTTGACCCATCCCAGGATCCCAATGGGTCTGCCCTGGATCTGTGCCTGCTCTCCTGGAAACCCTGCCTTTCTGAGGTGTCAACAGTTGCCCCATGCTAAGACAGTATTCTCATGCAGTGGTGAAGGGGGGTGGCCAATACAGCAGCCCATGCCCATTTTCTGGGGAGGTGGTGGCCACGCAGCACAGGGCTTCAGAGAAGGGGAAGGGACTCACCTTTTCAGGAGGGTACTGGAGGGCTGGGATCTTTTCCTCCAGGTGGTCCAGGCCTCGGCAGGCCAGCTCATTGGCAGCTGTGACTGGAGAGAAGAGTTATACTGGGGGAAGCCCTGCCCCTACCACAAGGACCCAGCAGTGGCCTCTGTGCCTGGAAAAGCACCGTGAAGCCTCGGAAGCCCAACCCTGCTGCTTCACAGGCATCCTGAACCCGAGGCCCTCTGCCACTTTTAGCCCTGGTCCACTGGTGACTCCTTGAGGCCAGGGTCCTTCCTGCATCACCCGGCTGTGGCTTCAGGCAGGTCACAGGCTTCCTGACTGAGAAGGAAGCGATGGGACCATGTGAATCACCAATGACTCTGAGTTCCCTCCCTCCAAGTAGGGCTCTAAGTGAGCACTGGGAAGAGGGGGTGTGGGTAGGAGCTGGGTGGCCCTGGAGTCTGACAAAGTAGGGCCAGGCCTAGTCCTGCTTAGTCCTGGGGGTGACAAACTTCCAGCCACAAGCTGTGTGGGCTCCAGACTATCCGTGGCTCATGCTCCCCACCTCCACTAAGGGTTGAACCCAGACCTTTCACTCTGAGCTACATCCTCAGCCCCTTTATTTTTTATTTTTATTTTTATTTTTATTTTTATTTTTTTTTTGAGATAGTGTCTCGCTAAGTCACCAAGTTGACCAGACTGGGCTAGAACTCACATCCTCCTGGTCAGCCTCCTAGAGTCCTAGAATTATAAGTGTGTACTACTATGCACAGTGGCCTTTGCTTTTAACCACTCAGTGTGGAGATAAGCTTGACAGTACCAAGGAGGCCATAGGAAAGGCAAAAGAGTTGTCTGTTGCCCCCTCCCCCAGGATCCAAACGCTTTCGAGGATGCTGCTGGGTGCCGCAGAGCACAGAAGTTCTGAGGTCTTCGAGCTGTCTTCAGGTCAGGACCAGGGGAATGTAAGAAGCGGGACCTGGGTCTTCTGCCTGCCTATCTGTGCTTCCCCACCACACCCCCGCCCTACTGAGGAGGTTGGGTACAGGACTTCTCAGCACTTCTGGGACGTCTCATAGTCCTGTCAAGAACCAGGCCTTAGGACTGTATTCCCAGATGGGACAGAACAATTTGCTGGGGCCACATCTAGCAAAACTTACGGAGCCGTTGGTTTCTGACCTCTAGCCCCTGGCTGGCAGCTCTCTGCTGCCCTCACTTGTCACAAGCTGGTACCATCAGCAGTTGAGCCAGCTCTAGGGCCCACAGCCACAGGCCCCGCCCACTCCCATCCCTGCCCACGTAGCCCCACCTATCTGTCCTCCTGCAACTTCTTTGGCTGCTCATTGTCATCCTAGGAAACCACCCCTGGGCTCTAACTGAGGCCTGTATCTAATAGTGATAGGTAAGATGACCAGATGATGGGATGCAGCAGCCAGGCCGACCAGCAAGCAAGTGACTGGATAATTGGATAGACAGACAGACAGACAGACAGACAGACAGACAGACAGACAGACAGAGACAGACAGACAGACAGACAGACAGACAGAGCAGGCAGAGCAGGCAGAGCAGGCAGACCCTGGCAGGTGGGCAGGACAGGACTCACATTGGGTGGACAGCCTGCGGACTACGGGCTCCATGCCCCAGGCGGCCAGGCTGCTGGCGCCCTGCACGCCCTTCTCGTAGGCGTTGCACATGGAGGCCACCAGGGGGTGGGCTTCCTTGGTGCTGGCATAGGTCTTCTGGAAGCACTCGCATGTGCCGCTCACCACAGGCAGCTGCATGACGCGCTGCAGCACATTCTCCTGCTCCTGGCCGGGAAGGAGCACACGGTGGTCAGCCTCTCCACACCCTCCCAGGAAGGGAGCCCAGCCTCCCCTCAGAGGCCAGCTGAGTCCGAGGGGTCTGGGAGGAACCTGGGCCAAAGATGGCTCTGAATCCTCGAGTCACAGGCCCCACTGGGCACAACCAGGCTCTGCTGCCATGGTCTCTGCCTTACCCGGACCAGGCCAAACCCCAGCCTCCTCCTGGCCCCCACCCCAGACTTACTGGGAGACAGCGAGCATTATGAACACACCTGTGGGGAGTTTTAATGGTGGATTCCTCTAAACATTCTCCCACCTTTTCTAAACCACAGCCTCCTGCCTGAGGACGCCAGTGTGGAGCCCAGCACACGCACTGCCCTCCACCTCCCATCGCTTCCTCCAAGAAGCTTCCTGCCTTTCCTCCTTCACATCAACAGCTGCCAGGTCCTTCCCTGGGCCATCTATAATCTGTCACACCACCTTTCTCTCCCAGGAGACTGTCATCTCTACATCCCCAGGACCTTTCCAGGCCCAGGAAGGTTAGTTGGAGAAATAAATGACAGTGAGGGCTGCCTTGGAGAACATAGTTCAGACCTGCGCCCTGCGCCCAGCACAGAATCCGAGCATCGTGGCCTACAGGGGGCTCTGTGGCAAGAATCCTTTGCAGAATTTCTCTGTTAGACTCATGTTTGGACACATCATTTCCCCTGAGCTGGAGCTACCCTCTCCCAGAGTAGCCTGTGCCCCTGTTGGACAGCTCTGCAGAGCTGAAGCCTGCCTCCTCCCCCTGCCCTACCCTCTCTGCACCAGAACATCTGCAGGCAAATTTATTTCATCACTCATGGGTTAGCCCTTCACATACTTAAAGTTAAACCTCTCTCTCTCTCTCT